TATCTAGGTCGGGAAATCAATATGTTGAACGACTTAGCGCCAGAGTTGAGCAGAAGGAAACGAGCTGCCTGGGGAGCTTTGAAGAGCATCGAGGATGTAGTGTAGAGAACAAAGAACACCCGACTCCATGCCCACCTTTTCGACTCAACGGTACTTCCTCTCTGAAGTATGCGTCAGAAACCTGATCGCTGCGTTAGCAGGATGAAAGATCACTCAGCGTTATTGGACGCACAGTCGAAAGGACGATGCTAGGAGTATCCCGTTCCACACAAGTAAGGGATGTGATGGGATCCGAAGCTCCGATCTGCGCCAACGATCAAAAATCAAAGATGCTGTTCTGTACACCAAACAGTCGAAGATAAGGTGGGCCGGACACGTTATAGGTATTAATGACAACCGATGGGCAAGAGCTGTTAGTGACCGGATTCCTCGGGATGTCAAACGTACTGCAGGAAGACCACCGACCCGATGGTCAAAGTTCTTTACAAAGAGCTTTGAGGAAGGATATGATGCTCGACGAGTCTCTATAGAGAGCAGAACCCGCTGGGCCACTCTTGCACGCGACAGGCAAAAATGGAGGATTTACTGGTGCCCGCTCGAGTCACTCGACGATCAACGGGACTACAGGTGACAGGTGATACAGGTGAACCTCTTGTCGGCTAATCCATGAATCTACTGGTTATTTATGCCAAGGTTAAATAAAAGTCTGATTTTACAGATATTTTCACTTGTTCTCTTTTCACTAGAAATTAACAGAAAAAGTAACTCCAAATTTTACCAAGTGGCAACTTTGACCTAGGAAGTTATAGTTTTCAAAAAACATCAAACTGCTGTATTTAAGGTTTCCGTTCTGTAATAATCACGAGAGTGATTCGTTTTCCTTGACGATTTGCAATGTAACATAGAATCCAAACCTATCCATTACTGATCCCCATCCAGAATTTTAGTGAGTGCGACCTATACTCGAAAAACGACACGAAGCCTGATATCAAGAAGCTGAAGCCGTACTACCAGTCGCTCATTGACCAGTACATTCCTGGAGAGGTTGCCTGGTGAATTCACAAACTCCGCCAGCGCTCCCATATATCACAGTCGGAACTGCTACCATCAACATTATAAACACTACATTTAACCATTCATGTGTTCGATGCCTCTCTACCTCCGTATCTCGAATGTAACATGTTTGCAGCATGGATGCAACTAATTGGTAGGATCTTTCCTGTGTAATAGTGTGACATGACATTGATTTCTGTCATTGTATACTGTTTAATATAGCAAATTCTAAAAATTTTCACGTTTTTTGGTATCTTTGACCCCTTCACTATTTCCCTTAATCGGTTATTAGAAAAAATTAGTTTCCAATATTTTAACGAACAGTCTGGTCTGTTTATTTTTAATCAATTGTAAGGTAGGATATGGAGCCCAGGTAAATATTGTCGGAAAGTTTTGACAGAAATGTTCATCCGTACTGTTGATACTCTATCGCGCATTGGCGGCAAGAATTCTAACGGACGACTCACACAGATATCTCCCGAAAAATGGACCATCTTGTCTGTGGTAGGGTCTATGCGTGAGCTTTACAAAGTCAGACAGTCGGAAATTGAGCGCTCGTAGAACTCTGGATACGTTTTGAGGACATGCAATTTCAAACAAGTATTGCTGTCAAAGACAAGTTTTAGTCAAGGTTATCTACATTCAGATTGAGATCTTCACACACTACATAATGTTGCAAACGACCGAATCCTCATTGGGTTCACTGATCGAGACGCAGATATCGTTGTTCTGCGGTGCTCCGAACTTTCTCTTCATTGATTGCAGCCTAGTTAGTGTTCGCTGTGTACGTGATGGCCGGAAACGAAGAGTGTCGATTACCTGAACAGTGGATGATAAATTGATACTGTTATCTACCACCAAAACTTCGTCACTGAGAAATTTCTATCTGGTTAGGTGTAGTGCAATGTGACTTATATTCCAAGAAGGTGGATAGGGAATTAACTTTGATCAAAAGCTCTGAAACATTGTACAGAGTCTCCTAGATTTATCCAATGGACTCCCTGTTTCTACTGCAGCATATTGACGCATATCTCCTGTATGTAATACCTGCATCACCTGTTGTGGCTTTGATCATCGAGTGACCCGAAGGAGACAAGTAAACCTTCCACTTCTCTCCGCGGCGTGCAAGAATACCCTAGTGTGTTTTTCTGGGTTTAGAACCTCGTAGAGCATTTTATCTATCTTCCAGGGTTTTCAGTAAGAAATCTGACAATGAGTCGATGGTCCTTCTGCTGTGCGTTCGCCTTCCCGAGAATCCAGTCGCTAACGGCTCTTTTCTATCGGTTTCCGTTCATAAGCATTACGTGTCTGGCCCACCTTGTGTTCGTCAGTTTGGCATAGAGAACGGCATCTTTTACTTTGGATCGTTGACGCAAATCGGAGCTCCAGATCATCTCCCTTACTTGCGCGGGACGGGATACTCCTAGCATCGTCCTTTCGACTGCGCGTTCGAAAACGCTGAGTGATCTTTCATCCTGCTTACGCAGCGATCAGATTTCTGACGCATACTTTAGAGCAGGAAGTACGGTTGAGTCGAAAAGGTGGGCACGGAGTCGGGTGTTCTTTGTTTTCTACACTACATCCTCGATGCTCTTGAAAGCTCCCCAGGCAGCTCGTTTCCTTCTGCTCAACTCTGGCGCTAAGTCGTTCAACATATTGATTTCCCGACCTAGATAGACATAACTGGAGCAATCGAAGAGTATTCGTACCACCGAGAGTGAATGGGGCATACGAAATTAATCCCTCATAAACATGGTTTCTATGAGATTTAGGCAACAAACTTTCCACAAGCGTTGTCAAAGCTATCTGCAGTGAAAAAGGTGAAATAATTGGGTCTCATCTTCTAATGAACATAGAAATATTCTTGCACGCGAGTGTGCGCATGCATTAGCATATGCAGACTATATTGCTGCCGTACCTCGATAAGGCCAAAAATCTACAGCGAACTGATTGGGAAGCATGTGGTTCGGAGTCGCCTATTGGAAATCAACTCCTCTCCATCGAGATAGACTAGAAACCAAGTAATGACTATAGATAACTCTAACTCGTTTCAGCAGCGTAGGATATAGTAAATATGGAGAGGTTGATGAGACATCAGAACTAATTTAGGTTGCTTAAACCTGAAATGATTACACTAACGATCTGCCACACAGACAACCATCTTGGTCTTTGATTGGTGGCCTCATGAAGAAAATTGTAGCCAAAGGAGACTGTTCGAACCGCAAAATGTATTAAACGTCGTTTGTAATTCTGAAAGAATTATTCCTTAGAATACGCCATAGTAGAAAGACAGCATGGGCCTCTCTTCGTCAACGCAATCTTGACCACTACCATGAATCGCTTTCACAAACTAACAATCCGAAGCGGCTGTTGAAATGAGAAAAAATATGGGTCAATGATTGCTTTGAAAGTTCTCGTAGTCCACGTCTCAACGTTAAACTGTGACAAAGAAGGGTATTATTTACAATTTTTATACGACCCGACATCACATATATCACACTGCGTAGATCCCAGCGCTTCTCACAATCGATACATTTCTACAATCCATGATGATCACCGGACTTTTTGTGCCTGGCTTCGGCTGGTGCTTGAGGATTTTTCCGAGCTATCTACGATGTCGTTGAATGGCGGTTTAGTCGATTCTTTCTAGAGCCTTGATTTAGCTCTGCAAAAGGGTTTCCAAGTAGACTACAGAGAGCTTGTCTTAGACTAGTCCTGTACCATTTTTCCGACTCTTGAGCGATGAGGGGCTTGGTGGGCCCACACAGTATCGAAACCGTGATTGGGTGGGTTTGGCCGTCGGTGCAATGAGCAGAATTCCTAGCACTGCGGTACTCGCTCATTTAAGAAACATTAGTCTCTCTAATTGTAAAATCGGTGACAGTAGACCCTCTGAATGACTTCTCATCTCGACTCAGAGATTAAAACGGACGGAACAAGATGAGCGGCTGTAGTAAGAAGGCAAATATTAAAGTCACCAAATCACATCTGTCTTCAAAGACTCTGAAGTTAATACGTTAATTTGGAGCCGCAAGAGCTATTGCAACCATACACAACTCGATAGCCACATCAATCTTCCGCAATATCATACAACGGCGATGGATACGCTGTCTTAATGGCTTTCGTTTAAAGGCACCACGTAACGAAGAAAAGGAGTACAACACGCCAGACAGAGACACGATTAGACCTGAGCCCGAACAACCTGGAAACAAAACTCTAGCACTCATCAACACGCTGCCTAGGCTCTTCAAATACTATCTGTTAGAATATAGAATATAATATTCTTTTGCAAATATCTCGGCATCATTGTGGTTGTATTTCACATGTCCGTTGTATTACCTTGCTGTGAAGGGGTGCGTGCAGCGCAGTCGTCGGAGGCGCGCTGCAATACACGTAGGATCGATCCCCGTGCCCAAAGCATGTCATCTTACCAAGCCTTCCATCCTCCCAGAATCGGCAAACTCGTACCAGACTTGTCTGAGGGGATGGCAGTAGTGACTCGATACATCGGTAGGCCACAGCGAGTTATTGTAAAGGCCAGATATGCATTCAATCGCCTCCAGCGATGCTTAACGAAATTGAATGCATGGCACATCCCTCAGGGATTTATCAAAGCCGAAAGCTTTATCCTTTATCCTTCTATCCTGTCGTGATAATATAACGGGCAGCAAGTAAAAAGTTAAACATTGTGATTACTTAGAATTCATTTGTCCGACTGGATAAAAAACGAGTAGGATCATGTTATTGTACAAAAAGGGAGATCAGTGCGACATCGACAGCTACTGTCTGTCCTGCTGTCTGTTGCCTACAATCTTTTCACTCGAATCACCTTTTGTAAGACTGCCAGAATACTGAGCAAAGGAGTACTCATGCAAGTACGCGATGTTTCGGAAAGAGTTCAGCGTAGTGAATCACATTCACACGGTAATGGGGTTCATCGATTAACCGAGTGTTCACAAGACGACAGCTTCTCAAATTTCCATCGACTTAATGGGGCTTTTTTCGATTCTGTTAGGATGAAAACTTTCACGGAGTGTCAAATGCAGTCAGAACGCCTTTATTACACACATAGAGCTCCTTCATGACTTATACAAAAACTTCTCTGTCTGTAGTTCATCGATGTCTGTATTGACGTCAAGAAACAAAGTGCTAGTATGTCACATGTCACAAGAGCTTCCCAGTACTAATTTAGGGAGTCACTTGTCGTACTGATCGACGAATGACTCGAGTGGGCACCAGTAATTTTTCTATTTGTTACTGTCGCTGTCCCCCGGTAGGTTAATATTTCTTTTCTACCACTTTCGTAAAGAACTCTGACAATAGTCTTCCTGATATGTGCTTGACATCCCGAGAAATCCATTCACGAACGACTCTTGTCCATCGTTATCGTTCAGACGTATTCTCTGCACACATGATTTTCTGCGTTTTGAAGTGCGTAACTGCGTCTCCGATTTTTTGTTAAAAAAACAAAAACCTCTGTTAAATCCATGAAAGAGGAAACGCCACGTAGCCATGTGATTAACCGGCTGGTGGTCCCTCAGTGAAGTCGTTTCGCGGGAACTACAGAATTTCATGTGAAAAGTAGAATGAGGTAAAATGGGAGTGAGTGTTGAGTGCAGCCGTTACAACATTGCTCTTAGCAGGCGGTATTCTTTTTATAATCTCAATAAGCAGACAAGAACTACACGCTACGAACAAACTTCGTGAAGGGGTCCTTCCTCAGCTGATCCAATGGGAAAAAGACGTTCACGAGAGACGAGTTTATTTCAGAAATCTCTTTCGAGTTTAACGGTCCCAATATCCCCTAATGCTTAAGTCGTGCACATTTGGCTCGAGAAGTCGAGCGATGAACGGCTTTGCCCTATAACTGCGCACGAGAAAACGAAGGACTTGAGAGCCTACAACTCGCTGCACAACTTTGGCACATTTACAACGATTCATCGTCTTTCATCTCATCTCCATAGGCTCTCGTAAAGCCCAATCCTTCCAGCGTCTCCATCCATCGAAATGTTCTCGCTTGTGGATACATATTACCTCCACAGTGGTGAACTGCACCGAAGTGACTACTGTAGCTATGTCAGGAATGCGAAATCAACCAACCTGTCGTTTTCGTAGTACATCGATACGGGTTTTCTCCCATATTGCGGCTCCTTCATTGTTATGCAGTTCTTTGTAGCCGTCGATAGATTGGTCAGCACCTGAAGGTTTAGTAAAGTTTCATCAAAGTGCAAAGTGGAAAGTGGATTTCGATACCTTTTATAGCATCAGCTATCTCCCACACACTTTTCCTCTCGTTTTTGACAAGAATATACGTCTGGATTTTCATTGCTCCGTACTCCAAGAACTGGTGCTGCTCGAAAACAAAGGCGCTTCTTTGGTGTTCTTCCACCATGCTGAATGGATCGGCAACTTCCTACCAAACACTAATTACGCACAGTGTAGTCACACATATAAGCTCTAAGTTTTCCTTCTTATTAGCAATGAATTAAACAAAAAGCAAGAGTATACTTGTAAAAATACACATCTTCCGGAAGAAAATATAGTTTCTGCTCCTATCTTGCTTTTTTTTGGAAGAAAAATACGAGATGGAGACAGACGTTCGAGCTAAGTTCGTAACGAGGATTTTGCCCGGCTGGCTCAACGCGCACGTTTGTTTGGCGACGTTCACTGTTTGTCCAAACACACAGTACCTGGAATGCACACTTCACGGCTGCATTTAGGAAAACACATGAAGAAGATGGACCTTAGCACTGACTGCTCCGCTTTCCAGTGGCCGTTTTCTACTGAAAACGTGCGACCAACTTTGGACTAAAATCACCACCCATATTGCTGCACAGGAGGTGAAGTATGAGTAATGAAACGTGAAACGTGTCAAAATAGTCTCGCAATGTGATGCTCAATTTGAAGCGTTTTGAGTTAAAAACGAGAATTAGACTTCTAAACAAGATTTTCTACGGAATTCCTCCGCCATGTTAATGAAATATATCTATACATCCCTCTGTCCACCAATGAACGACGTCGCGATGAATCTTCAGACGCAGAGAAGCAAATCATGAGGGATAAAACGAATGACATTATATAGAAAAGCAAACCCTTGGATTACTATAACCTATAAATTGCATCAGACTATTATTCAGTCAGTAGAATATCTTCAATAAGCTTAAGTAAAACTATACGAAGCCAAATCCAAGCATGTCCGTTAGGAGAAGTTATTGTTTCGGTACAAGACTTAACTTCTATCAATGGACTCCTTTTACCACTCGAAACTTCACTGTTGAGCTATGACCTCAGCACTTAGGACATGTGTCTCAAAAATGGAAAAAAGAAAAGAACCTCGGCTTATTGTAGCTAACCACACCGGCCACGATTGAGCCAGAACTGATGCCAACTCGTACCTGTAACAGATATTTGGTGTCTGAAGCATGAACTGATAGCGACAGCCGTCAATCTAGAAAATGCAAGCGGCTGTACTACTGAATTAAGGTGTTCTTTCGCTGCTAGTTGTCCCAGTGGCACCTTCATTATTTTGAAATTTCAGCTACAATGGTAGTTTTCATTGCATCTGACACCTCGACATTCGTACTCCACCCTGCTTCATTCCATGTTTGCAGACCACGAAAGAACCATATTCATTGAGGTTTACTAAGTTTAGGAGTAAGGTTAGGAACGTATACACGACAAAGGTTCTAATAACCCAATCAACTACAGGCAATCATTTCTATTTCGTATTTTCAAATTTTCCAACATCTGCCACAGTTAGCCGAACACCAAAAAGGTGAGGTTACATACGCTTGATCTATAAAACGCTAAAATTACGTCCGAACTATGAAATTTTAAGAGGCAAATTACCCTTATAGGAGCGTTGATGCCGGGAACAATGACTTGATGACCAGAGAACACAACACCGATGGCTAGATTGAGAATGCTCTCAGCATGAAGCTCATTAGATTTTGGTGCTCCACTTACGACTAGATAACTATCCATCAACGACAGAACCTTGTAACACTGAAAAACTATTGTATATTTGGATATATGTGTATATGTATATAAGTGCAAATATGTAAACATCTATACATGTATATATATGTATATATGTATACATATCTATACAACTATCAGTTTGTTTGGAAATTAATGCAGGAATTTAATAAAATTAAGATAATTCTGCATTCTTCAAAAAAGCACATCTTATCTAGGAGCAAACTTTCTTTACACGACCCGCCACCACATGCGCTGTACCAGGACCCAGTCATCTAATGCATTCGATTCGCTTTCCTCGCATTCATAGTCCACGACAGCCTCCGAACAATTTGCATGTTGTTTCGGCCACTGTTTAGGGATTTCGTCTTCCTTATGAATGTCGTTGAATGTTGTTCAAGTCGATTCTCTTTACAATCTCGGAGATAGTGAGCCTGGGCATTACCACGTGTACTGGGGTAAAGAGCCGAGAAGGAGGTCCAACTCGCACCTTTGCCTATTGATTCACAACATCACTAACCACTGCGTTGCTGCATGGTCGGTTGAGCGAAATGTGGCCGAGCATGGGTAGTGTGACATGCTACCAATTCGAACGGCATCCATTTGTCGAGCTTTTTCAACTATGAAATCTAATCTCCAAAAAAAAAACCCCGGCATAATCTCCATTTTTCGGAGTTTTGCTTGTCTAGTCATCGTATTTCCCAAAGGTTCCAATGTCAGCTTGGCCAAAGTCCGCCCTAGGTCGTCGCCACCACGGGCCGTCGTCGTCCTTTTAGATGAGAGGGAGATTTCCCACCATTTGACTAGTTTGATACCAGGGCGGTGGCAGATTCTGGTATTGGTTTACTCTTAGCTGGGTTTCCTCATGAAAACGCCGGACTCATTCTAAGCTTGAAAAACCCTGTCAGGGAGAAGAATCCCTCGCTGTAAATCGCAGCCCGACATCCGGGAACGCGTTCCAACCACGATGGGCAGGTAAACCGTTGCGTGGGTCAAAAGTACATATTACATTATATCGCGCAGCTCGCATCAGCTTAAGAAGACCAGTTTATAAGTTATAAGATCATATAAATAAATATTACATTATAATTCAACTAAACACTGCATAAAATGAGCCGTTCACTGGCATTTAATAGTGCATCAACCTAAAACAGTTATAAAAGAACAGATAAACATTAGAAATCCTGCATTAGTTTCCGAAGAATATATATATACATATGCCATCTTCATATGAGCAAACGTGTTTCGTTATGTTAATTGAAAAAAAGGAGTCGAACCTCATGTTTATCAATAAGGTGATCGAACTGTTTGAAAAGCGTTGCAAAGATGTCAATTATCTGAAGCGGTAGAAATAGTTCGACAACTCAGATTTTCAGGGATTTTAAAGCTAAACAGAAAGTAGAATTGAACATGAAAAAACAAACACTCTTGTTGTGGGTCTTACTTCCTACAAGCTGCTTTGAATGCAAGTTATAGATCACAGTGATAACAAAGACATTGACAAGAAAGCTTGTTCAAGAAGCGCCTTACCGACTAGTAATCTTCTGCAGCCGTTATTAATTCTAGCGAACACAAAATCGGAATGTGGATTTTATGAATTTGTATTCCAATCTAGTAAGTAGACTTGAACGGGAGTACACAAAAGAAGGAAAGGCAATTTCATGCATACTATGCGATGGGGTTCAGTGTGCAGAGTAACGTGAACCTTCTACGGAAACTTAGAATGGATGAAGTAAATGGGGACTATTGGTGGAGCTTAGAGGACAGAAAAACGTGCTAAACGATCTGGAAAAAAAATTAGTGCGGAAAAGTAGAGTGGGCTGGTTGTCTTCAGTTATATCCAAAAAGCGCAGAACTAATCGAGTCGGAAATTCGATCTCATTTCTACCACTTATTATACAGTGGCACTCGCAATCTATGTGCCAGAAATACATGTCAACCCATAGTACTACATAATACTGCCACCATCGTCTCAGATTTCGGAGCATATTCACTGTAAAATAGCACAAAGCCCACCGTTGCAGCGCCATGTTAACAGCCCACAAGCCCAGCATTGAATTAGCTAGCTAAGATTTGGATTTCTGATGGTTAAAGAAAAGAGCAGCCGAGTGAACCCGGAAGGACAGTGGCTCTCTACTAGACAGTACGACGAATTTAGCCTCACTCAAAACAAACCTACCCAACTTAACCCCGTGTTATTAAAGCCAGCTTTTTCTCTGAGAGCAACTCACCTACAGATAATTGCAGAAAGACAATGAGAGCCGATTTCACCATCGCTGCTCGTATATTTTTTATTATCATGTGTTTTTCAAAGAAGGGCTTTTGTGAGGAACAATACTCATTTTTTCACATGAACCGTCCTAACATCTACTGCGAGGATCCTAGTACTCCTTAGATTCGATTTGTTTTCTCGTACCTACCGACCACAAAGGTATTAGAACTATCGGCATGTGAATTCGGCTACTACGTGAGGGCTTTCATCTTTTCTACGAATAGCGTTGAATGCAGGTCGAGTTGATTACCCTTGGAGTCCTGGGGAAACAGGGCTACAGTGTTCCCACTTGGATTGGAGGTATTAAATGTTTCCATGCAAGTCTGTTAGCAATGTCGCAATCCCGGAAGGATGAGAAGCTTAGTAGACACGGGATGAGGTCGAACCAGCTCCTAATAGGCTGCGCCATCCACCTAGTGAGCGGAATCACTACCGTTGCATTACTTGCTTCCTAATCATTTAATTCTTCTATGTTATTAAGAAGATTCGGCTCTATTGACATCACTTTGCCTTATAGTACCAATAGTAAAGCAGCAAACCTCCTTCCGATCAATAACGACCCTCTTCTATTTGTGACGACGAAGTGGGGGAAACCTGACACAGCCACCTCGCGTTTCTTGGGGGCAAGAAATCCAGCATTCACCACGTGAGTAAGAAGAATGCACACCAAATTTTCAGGCCATAGCCGAATTCATGCATTGCCGTAACCTCTATACGTGATAGTGAAAAAACAACGAATCGAATGAAGAGGTACTTGTGCTCATACGACATACACGTAAATCGCTGATCTAGTAAGCACGTTGGGATTTGAGTAATATCATTTTAATAGCACGTTAATGAACTAATGGAGAATTGTCACCTTGCTAGGTTTGCAACAACCGGTAATTGTATAGAAATCTGGGATGTCTGTGACCATAACTGTGCAATCTCCATATTCTTCTGAAAATAAGAACTTCATAGGAAATTCCTTTAAACTTCTGCAAATCTTAGAAAGTGGAGGAGGAAATAGCTAACAACCCATACACCGCTTAAATTTGGAGGAGAACAAATGTACGTCCTCATGATATAGCCTAGTGCCTTTCCAACACCCACGTTCTGTCATTGCTCTTGAAAAGTCCGTGTTCATGGCTACTTTTTGGTATTCACTCATCATTTTCTTTCTTGCTGCGTTAATCTGTGAAAATAAATGGCCTAAGAAGTGAGGATTTAAAGTAGAAGTTGCTTAAAAGTTCTCCAATGAATAAGCACTTTTGAACGACGATCGTGACGGTTGATCCCGATGAATGTTTCATAAATGAACGATAAGAAGATAAAGCGCCCAGCAGTAAACCTCGGAAGGTTACCATGCATTTGACTTTATCGAGCACCACAGAGGTGATTGAATGCATATCTACTTTAATCATAAACTTACAGAGGCTTTCCGATAAATAAACTCAGGGCCGCTATACTCTCCAAAAACTCTGCTATCAATCTGTTGACTCCAAAAATATGGAAGGCTTTATGGGCACGGAGCTATCGAACCAGGGACCGATCCAGTGTATATTTCAGGGCAACTCTAAGCAATAAGGTACGCGCGTCCGTTTCGTTAAATGTTGAACTAAAAAGGAAAGAGAACACAAGCAGAGTAAGTGCAAATCAATTTAGACAAGTACGTGCGCCATCGGCTCATCTTTCAAATTGTTCACTTTGGTAGCCTGAGAAATGAAAACGAAAGAGGGAACTCACGGGCAGGAACAGGACTGCCTAGACGAAGAGCGTCGGCGATCATCGGCGGTACAAATTCGTAAAGCAGATGCTCGGTTTGCTGCTTCTTGGACTTTAGCTCTTCAGCCAATGATTTCAAACTCTTTACAGTTTCCTCCAAACGTTTGCTAAAAGCCAGTAAAAATAAGAAACACCAACCTTTACACCTTATGTCTTCAGCAGAAAAGTGTCCCCGAGCAACGAGAGAACTTGCACACGGTCATTCCGCTTAGAAACAAAAAGAAACTTTGCAAAAAACCAAACAAATTAACCAGGAAGGTTACCGAAAACGATTGTACAGAGTGAATCCCATCTAAACCACAGGTAAACTTCAGAAATCTGCTTGAGCTTCTGTATTCAACAGTATGTGACTTGAGCGGAATATAGTAGGTCAGTTCCGGGGATCGACTTTCTGTTAACTTCGGCATTGGATTACAAATTCGTCGTTTTTTTTTGTTCACTAACCGCAATATCTTCTTCAGTGGAAGACATGTACGATGAGTTTTTCGAGAAGCTGTTGATCATATGATTAGCAAATAGACTTTCGCCCTTCGTTTTATTGAGGCGTTAGGCCTAGTAAATTGCGTCCCCTTCCAGGCTATGAAGAAGACGATACTCCCGAAACGTCAGCTCGTGTTGTGCTGTATGTGTTCTAGAACTAAACGTATAACTGTGCTGTATAATAGCCTGGCAATTGCTCAACAAGAAAACGACGAATTTGTAGTGGGTCATTTACTTCGTTTCCCAGAGTTTTTTGATGAACGACAAAAGTTCGATCTCTAGCTAATGTGACCACAAAGTGATTTTTCCATTTGTGATGCACTTCGTTTCTATGGTGTGAATCTTAACCGTATAGAGATATTCCATAATAAATGTAACACAAAAAGACGGAACGATTCTCGGCGACGTACTTGAGTTCTATTTGAGACATTCGACTCTGGTTTAGCATTATGAGGTCGCGGGTGGCGTCATGTATCGGCATGTCAGAGATGAACAGATTCAGATTCAGAATATCCCGAATGGTGGTGGCGTGAGGAGAACAAAGGAACATTATCGAATTTCCTTCATTTATGGAAATCATCTGACCTGAAACTCTTACGTAAAAGAAAAGCTACTAAGTTACTCGCCTCGATGTGCTCCAAAACCTTTTTCCTGCCTCATTACCTCTATGTTGGTTAAATGTGGAAGTAAGTGACTTTACTTTTCAACTTAAACTGCTTTTATATGTAGAAATATTGACAAACTAGCCACACTGAGGCAAAAAACAGTTTCATCGTTAGCCGTGAATTTGTCCTTACACTTCCTTTTTCAGAATTTAGAATGACCTCTTCTACCTCTCTATCATAGTAGTAAACGTGAAACGAGAGCAGTCGAGTTCACCTTTCAGACAAAGCGGTTGGTGGAACGCCTTACTGGATTCTTTACCGACTTCACTCCTTTTGCTGTGATGTTTCAGCTGGACGATGAACAACGTATTTAAGTAGGACATGATGTTCTTATGAGTAAGCTATTTTAAAAAAAACAGTAAGTAAGAGCGCACAATCGGAAACCTTCTGGCATCTATGGCACCTGAATATCGGCCGGCTGGATGAGCTGTACCAACTCGGTCAGTTTGACCATTTTTTTGCAAGACAAATCATTTTCCATGAGCAGTTGACCTCCTAAGAGAGTAGCGTTTTGTAGCGAAATAGCACACAAGAAAGTCAATGTTGAACTCGAAAAAAATTACAAATATAAGCTAAGCTTCAGGTAAGACAGAATTTAAACCGATTTTCAGAGAAAAGGATTCGAATTTTAGAGAGAAAATGCACGGTGGAATGGCCATGAGTGTCTGACATCTAGGTTTTTTCTGTATGAATATAATATGAAGAACTTACACTATAACAGAAGATTTTGTTTTGATGTCCACGTCTTTTAATAGCAATTATTTAAATGGTCAGATTTGAATCCACGATTATCCCCTCCTCCCTAGTCACGTCATCAGTAGCGCAGTGAGTAACACGTGACCCCTCAGAAGGTAATCGCTGGTTCGAATATGAGCTGAGTTGCGGTCCAAGTCTTGCGAGTATCTCAGCACTTTTGTCGTTGTATTTCACAGAACACCCTACCGTGGAAAAATAGTGGGCACTAGATAAAAATCAGAAAGTATTTCAATAGTGTTTAACGTTTTGTTTTCTGCCTTCTATAATTTTCATGGCAGGTTACTAAGCGAAATACAACCATAACGTTGCTGAGATATTTGCAAAACTCTGGACCGCAGGTGTCTATGGTGGGGAACGAACGCGCTATTATCCTTTCCGGGGAGTAA